TTTCATCTTCATCCTCCTCTTCGTCCTCCTCTTCATCCTCGCTTCCATCCTCCTCGTCCTCCAACAGTCCACACTAATTCCTCTACCCCTCTTTATCCTCTTTGTCTTCTTCATCCTCTTCATTCTCCTCATCGTTTTCCTCCAGCACTCCACTATGGTCTGTAAACAACGAGCAGGCACCTCGATAAACTTCCAGAGCCCCGCCTTCGATAAAACCCCCTCCTTCGCCACACTAGTTCGCAAAAAGTTTTCCAAACACTCTACTACGGTCCGTAAACAACGAGCAGGCGCTATAAACTTTCAGTACCCCGCCTTCGATAAAACCCACTCCTTCGCCACACAAGTTTGGTGAAAGTTTTTTATAAGTCTCACAACTTTTTGAGGGTATGTACAACAATAATAGGCGCCACAACACCCTGGCTGGGGGATTGGAGAGCACTACTGTGCGAAACATGGCACCCGGAGCAAACAACCACCTTTGAGGAGAATATATTCAAATTAGGGAGAAGGGCGGTACTCTGGGCCCTAAGGAGAACACGGTGTGTGTATGAAATGAAGCAGGTAAGATTGTCCCTAGCGGTTGAAGCCCCATGTAGCGAGTGGTGTGTTGTTGATCCGAGCTAAATTTTTGACATATAAACTTTGAGATTGATTGTCTATACACTTGCAGTTTGTTGTCGGGCAATACTACTGTACTCTATTGGACTGGACTTTTGCCTTGGGGGTACAGTACTGTTGGACCGAACTTTCGCCTCGAGGGTATAGCTTTATCGCTTAGAGGGTTAAGATATCTAGTTTTGAATTATATAGCAATGGGTTATAGTATTGGGCTCTATATATGTGAAAATGCAACAGGACCTACGAGGGACAATGGCAGCATGTTGAGTAGAAGACGCTATGCTAGAACTCAATTTTCTTGAAGTAATCTACCCCCCCCCCCCTGTTTTTTCCAATCAATCAATCAATCGACCAATCAATTAAACATTCAATCTATTCAATCGAATCGATTGATTTGATTGGATCTTGAAAATGAAAAAATAAAAAACTTCAACCACCACTTTTCGAGATCGTGGTCGTGGTCGTGTTTGGGATTCCCTGCATCTTTGTTAATTGCTTTGAAAATTGAAATACAGGTATTGCATGGAAATGAAATGTAATTCTTATCTTCTAGTTTAAAAATTTGAATACATATTCTCACTTTTCATTTTTTGTTCGATTTCAATAACGGTTGTTCTTTTCTCACCACATTTGGAAATCCTTGCACGTCATCACAACAAGTATGTGCAAGGAAAAAGAAAATAATATCCTGCTTTTGTGTTCTTTTTTTTTTTTTCAATTCTTCGTGGTTTTGTTTTTCAATAATGCGTTCGTTGTTGAATTTTGTGGCGTATTGTTTCATTGAATGGTCATTGAAATGTTCTTTTCGTCACGATGTTTTCATTGTCTTGTGCAAGATGAATGTCCCGCAATCACCGCAGACACACACGTACACACATCTTTTGGTTTTTTTTTTTTTTTTTTTTTTCTCAATTCTTCGTGGTTTTGTTTTTCAAGAATGCTTTCCTTGTTCAATTATGTGGCGTACCGTTTCTTTGAATAGACATTGAAATGTATTTTTCATCACGACATTTTTATTGTCTTGTACAAGATGAGTGTCCCGCAAGCACCGCAGGTACACACATACACACACACTGTGTGTACAATTGTATGTAGTTGCGGTTTGTGTGAGTACCTCACATCCAATGTACCTATTCTCCACCGCACATGATCAATCGTGTCTGTCAACAACATTGGAAGAGAGAGAGAGAGAGAGAGAGAGAGAGCAGACCGAATTGAAATGGAATAGAAATGGAGATATCCAGATTTCGTTTCGTCGCTTTGTTCAACTGCACGAGAAAAGACGGACTGAAGGTGTCCAACACTGTCCCCACGGGTTCGCCCCACGCCGAACTCACTTTCCGATGTCCGAATTTTTGGCATTGGACACACTTAACGCCAGACTGTAGTTGTCCTGTAAACTTTCAAGGTTAATAAGTAAACTCAAGAAACAGTTATTCAATGTTTACTTTAAGTTTTCATTTTTAGCACTCTGGCAGTTGAGAGCACGAGAATGTATGTCTGACCAAAAGATTTGCAGAACTCTCAATTTTTACCTTATTTGAAAAAATCCCCAATATTTTTCAAAACACACTTTTTGAACGTTAATCCTGTTTTCACAACGCAACAAAAGTGTGAAAGGTAGACTTTGATCCCTTAATTTTTTTCGATCTTAAATATCCACAAAAAAAAGACGAAGTCTTAAATATCCACAAAAAAAAGACGAAGTCCTACAAAAGGATTTATAGAACTATAAATCCTAACCTCCACTTCCGAAATACTAGCTCTTTGTCGAAACACATGTATAGAACTATAATCAAGTATTAGCACGCTCAAAAAATTCGCGAAATGTCGGACTCTGATTTATAGAACTATAAATCCTAACCTCCACTTCCGAAATACTAGCTCTTTGTCGAACACATGTATAGAATTATAATCAAGTATTAGAATGCTGAAAATTTTCTCGAAATGTCGGACTCTGATATATAGAACTATAAATCCTAACCTCCACTTACGCAATACTAGCTCTTTTTCGAAACACATGTATAGAACTATAATCAAGTAGTTGGGTGCTCTGAAAATTCGCGAAGTGGGGAACCCTGGTTTATAGAACTATAAATCCTAAAGTCCACTTACGAAATACTAGCTCTTTTTCGAAACACCTGTATAGAACTATAATAAAGTATTTGGGTGCTCTAAAAATTCGTAAAATGTCGGACTCTGCTCCCTTGAGTTTATGGGACTACAATTCTTCTACAACAGAAGTGAATTACAACATGTTTCTTTAGTGTACCTTATAGGACTATAAATTGAAACTTCGCTGTAAGAATTTCTTTCCTTTTTTTTTGAACTTCTCGAATTGTATTTATAGAACTGGAATTGTTTTCTGATATGTTGTTAAAAACCTCACCGAGAAGATGTTCTTTAGGGACGCGAAGTTAGTCTCGATTGTGACAAAGATAAGCAGTTCAAAAACTTGATTCTAAGTAACTAGTTCCAGCAGTTCTCCTGAAATTCTCTTTTTTTTGTTTTTTCCGATTCATTTCACTGCCCGCAAAATTTGGTCTCTTCAGGAGGCCTGAAAATCGTAACTTCTAAATTTTATAAATTTTCGTGCAAACCTAACAATTTGATTTGTGAGGTTTTCACGAATTCTTTGTTTCATGCGCAAGAAAGGACAAGTCGGATTCCGCTCATTCCGGAATTCCTAACCGTCGAGCCAAATTCCTAGCGCGCTCGCTAAGGCGCGCGTAATTCCCATGTAATTCCCGAATTTGCAAAAGACAAATTTTCAAAACTTGATCCGAGGGTCCCGCACATTATGAAAATACAAAAAGAGGCCTCGTCGGGCTGTCACCCAAAATTCGACAAAGAAGGGGGCGGGGGGGGGAACGGAAGATGGCGCAGGTCCGGAAGCTGGCGCGTCACATAATCCTCTGTTCCCTCGTATATCTGTGGAGCTCGTTCTGGCCCCGCGGTAAGGTGCAGTTTCTCGTGACACCCCCAACATCCCGTACTAAGGAACTGCTACACCAGCCTCAAGGCCCTCAAGCCTAAGCTACGTACTAGGAGGATAGCCAACCCTAAGTCGTGAATCATGGACTGCATCGTGGACTGTGTATTTACCCTTTAATGAAAGCACGGTTAGGTAGGGCTTCAGCAGCCATCTACAGTAGGCATATCAGTCGTGGTGACTGCTGTCCTGTGAGTCCTGCAAGATGCTGCTGACCGTACGATTTCCTGTGCCCTAGGAATAGTCAATCACTACCAATCAGGCAGCACAGAGACCGTCAGCGGGGTTTGACCCCTTACGCGTCATGGGTCAACTGGAGGCACTACCGTAGGCGGGCTAGACTCCGCTAGAGATTTCTGCCCACCTCTACCAAGGGTACGACTCTGTATGCTGGGCGCCGCCGGAGGTTGACAATTGATCATTCGATTCCCCAGCAGTCTTGAGGTGGTCACGAACAGTCAGTTGTCGTCCACCCGCCAATTGAAAGTGAACCACCTCATAAGCTCATAGCAATCGATTTTTAGTTTTTGGTGTGTGTCCCTCTCACCCGCCCTCGCGAAATTGGCCAATGTCAGAACCGTCCCGCCTAATGTTTCATCCTGTTTGATCCCCCTTGGCCCCCTCGCCCTGCATCCCCTCCCGCCTATTCCGTGTCCGTGTTTACGGCGGATCGGCACTCGGCGGGTAGTACCGAGTACACAGTGGAAGTCAACTCTAGCGTGGTTGGCGCGATGGCCGACAAGTAGAAATAGGCGCCGGCCGTGTATTGTCTGCGTGTGATGCGTGCGACGCTGTTACGGACTTCGCCAGGGCTCGATCCCTGGTCTATCTTTTGCTGTTTCGGCTGCATCCCGTTTTCGGCCTGGCACCCTTTTTCCAAACCCCTCCTTTGGTACCGTAGGATTTTGGACAACTTGCGCCATGCTGCAATTCGGGTGCCACTTTCAAATACTGCATTTTTCAGTTCTACCCTCGGGGCCTTTGCAGAAATGCCCCTGGTACCATACGTGTCACCGGTACTTATACCGGCTCCCCGTACGGTACGGGGACCAGTCTCGTACCAGTTCCCTGCTGCTGTACTCGTACTCAGTGTGACTTGCTGTTTCGGCATTCGGAATCCAAGACTTCGACTTTGTGCCTCGCCACTGTGTCTACATCCGATCCTCAGTCCGAGTCAGTCGTGTCGAGTGAGTGAGTGTGTGTGTGTGCTCTCACTCTCTCCCTCTCTCTCCTCTCCCTCGGCTCACCCTCAGCCTCATGCTCGTTACACACGTTGTATCGAATTGCGAAATCAGGAAATACTGCTTGGTAGGGGCTACGGCAGGGAACAAGCCAGCCAGGCTGTAGCCGAGAAGGCTACAGGGCTTCAGCTACATCGTGTTTACGGTGTGCCGTCGTCGGCGTTTCCAAGTGAGCGGCATTCACAAGTGAGCGGCATTCGCAAGTGAGCGGCGTTCGCAATGGCGCAGGATCAGATTACTTATGCGCAGAAGGTTGGGAAGAGCATTGGGAAGAGGGAGGACGAGCGGCAAGACATAGTTGGCAAGCCCATCACGAAGGAAGATGCGGCTCATATCCAGGCCGAAGCGATGAAGGTGGGTGAGGAAGTGAAACCGGGGTCGTTACCCGCTTGTGCACGGTCGGCAGCTTCCGTGAATGTGAGAGAGGGGCGGATTCCCCCAGGACCAGGTCTGGGAGATGTCAAACCGTTCGATGAGGAGCCGTACAAAAGCGGTTTGCAGCAGCATGGGATGGAGATTGGCGGGCAGCCGGGGCAGAAGCAGGACGTGGCGGGAAAGCCGATCACACCAGAGGATGCTAGTCGAATTCAACAAGCGGAGGCAAGGTTAGGTCATGACACCGGGAAGGGCAGCCTGTCTGCGCACGCAGCTTCTGCGGTCGCGGCTAATGTGCGCGAGGGGATCGTCGACCTAACTCCCGAGGGCGGAACAGCCGGGGCGACTGCGCCTGACATCAAGAGTGCGCTGGAGCAATACCCCCCTGAGCACCGTGAGGAGGTTCGACAGGAAATTCGGTCGGCCCTTCGTGACGAGAAGGGGCAGTAATTTCGAAAACCAGCATGGAGGGACTGCAGGGAAGGTAAAAGTGTGGATGACGCGTCTGAAATATGAATGACAATGACGTTGGATGGGGGCAACAGCGGATGGGATGGGGATGATGACGTGCAAACGAGTTTCATGGAACAGTCTCTACGTAATTGGGTGGACATGAAGGTGGACCAAAGAAGAGCCTTCCTTTGGCTGCGGGGTAGGCGTTTCGATAGGTGTGAGGAGGGAGGACGCATGTTTGGGTCATGGAGGGAGGCGCATTTTTGGGGTCTTAGAGGATCTTGTAGGGTCTTGGAGGGAGGGGGCATCTTTGTGTCTTAGGGGGAGGATATGACGAGGGTAGTTGTGTTGAGAGGAGTCAGGAGGAAGGAGGGGTTTGACGCGGAAGGGAAGTAGTGGGGAAGACTTAGTGTGTTTTTGTGGATCGATGTATGTGAGCAGACGGGGTGGCGTGGCTGTACGTAATGGAGAATCGATGAATGAAAAAATGTGTCAAGGCCAATGCCACGTTAGAAAGATCACTCCGCAGGGAATAGTCGATTTCAATTTCGTAATAAGAATTGTATCACATCATTGTATATCAGCGCTAAATTTGATTACATCATTGTACATTAGCGGGAAATTGGATCGCATCATTGTATATTACCCGGTGTTGAGTGAAAGTGCATGTCCTTAAGTGTGTACTTTCAAGCCAAGAGTTGATTTGACCAAAAAGCGACGACGTCTGGATGGACGATAGAAGGGTCTGAGTCTGGCTTCGAAGGCGAAGGCAGTCATTGCGAGAGGTGTCGGAAGGACGGAGTAGATAAACGGTTTTGACCGGATTTGCAGCCTTCGTCTGTAGTATACTACTTCGTGGCAGCGTTTAAGTCCAGGTAACGGCACAGGTGAATATTGATGTTGCTCATTGAAGACTGTTAAGGCAGTGGGAATTATGTGAGTGCCCTCGTCAATGTTTTTTTTTCAGACAGTGCATGAGGTTTTTGAGTTGGAACTTGGAGGCGCTTCGTATGCCGCCGGATGGACAAAGAGGAGAAGCGAGGTAGTTTGGTGGGCACAATACAACAGAAAAATTCCCACGATAAATGGAAGTTGAAAAAACATTCCATTAAAAAAAAATCATTTATATTGCTGAATAATCATTTCAATGTTCGTTCAATTCTAAAATTTCCAGTTTTAGACTTTTAGTCGACAAGTCCCCGTCTAAATATGAGTTTTCCCTTCGAACTACATCTATTGTTCAAGATGGAACGGAAGTCTGGACGAGTTTATGAAATGTTTTAATTAAATTTTCAGTCTATTAAAACAAATATCTTCTAATTTATATTGGATTAACATATTTATGACTGAAAATCCTTACTTAGAATAACAGTCCAATTAAAATGTTTAATGAACTCATCCAGACTTTCATCCCATCTCTAACATGCAGTCCAAATAAGAAGGAATACCACATTCTTGGAATGAAAGTTTGCAAGTAAGATGGAAAATTTTAAAATTGGAATGACATTTTTTAAGATGGAATGAAAATTAAAAATTTAGAATGTAATTTTACTACAGAATGATTATTTAATTCTGGGAAATTTTTCCGTTGTAGACATGATAATAGAGTGGAGTGGATTGCGGTAGTTTGTACAACCGGGATTGGAACTGGGATAAGTTGATCATCTTTTCTTGTAACAATAGTCGCTAACTAAGGGGTCTTGACTCCTTCGGAGATGAGTTGATAGTCTCTTCTTGTAAGAATAGTCGCTAACTAAGGGGTCTTAGATTAGACTCCTTTTTTGTATTGTATTTTGATGTTTTGGGACTTTCTTAGCACTCGTCAGTCACGTGATGAAATTGCAGCAGTCTTCAGCACAGGCAATAACTTGCCAATAAGCGAACTGTTTTGTGAACACATGGCGGCAACCCACGTACTTGGAACTCTCTCTCTCTCTCTCTCTCTCTCTCTCTCTCTCTCTCTCTCTCTCTCTCTCTCTCTCTCTCTCTCTCTCTCTCTCTC